TTTTTTTTTTTTTAAAGATTTTATTCATTTATTTGAGAGATTAAGAGTAAGAGCAGGAGCACTGGGAAGGGGCAGAGGGAGAGGGAGAAGGCGGCTCCCCACCAAGCAGGGAGCCCGATATGGGACTCAATCCCAGGACCCTGGGATCGTGACCTGAGTTGAAGGCAAACACCCAACTGACTGAGACACCCAGGCGTCCCCAAATGTTTTATCTAGCTCTCGACTTCTTACCTGATAAGAAGTCAAGAGCTAGATTAAAAATACCAGCAATGATTTAGCATGAAAGGATTAGAAAAACTAATATAGTTAAACCAAAGACAGGCAGAAACCAGAACTAAAAAGAAATGTAAACAGAAAGCTGTAAAGTAGTAAACGAAGTTTCTCAGACAGTCCAAAGGGAACAGGAAGATGCAAATTGGTAGCACTGAAGCCTTAAAGAAAAAATAAAATTCTCACCTGAAAGCTAAGAATGGTCAAATTCAATCCATGAAGTCTGAAGTGTTAGATTCTTTTCTCCCACTTCAAAGTATGAAGTTGAGGTAAAACTTACACACAGGATGGGGTGCAAATCTTAACTGTGCAGTCCGATAAGGCTGAGTGTATCCACATCCAGATCATGATAACAAACATTTTCGGAGCTTCCTCCCAGGCTGTAACATCCCTCCCAACCACTACGAACTGATCCCCACTTTTGCCTGTTTTCGATGGTCATGTTATCACACAGAATCTATTCATGTTGGCTTTTTTTCACTCAATCCCAAATTTTGAAATACAGCCCTATGTTTGTGGGCCTCGGTAGTCTGTTCCTTTTTACTGCCGAGCAGCACGCCACTGCATGAATGCGCTGCGGTTTGCTTTAGCCGTTCTCCTGCTGATGAACATCTGGGTTGTTTGCGATCTTATGCTATGATGAATAAAGCTGTCATGGGTGAGCTTTGTCGCACAAGCCTTTTGGTGGCCATAAACACTCACTTCTCTCGGGTATGTGCCTAGAACAGACCGCTCAATTACAAGATAGGTGTGTGTTTAACTATGGTAGATTGGGCCAGTTTTCCCAAGTGGTTGTATCTATTTACTCTTCTATTAGCAATGCTGGAGAGATCTCATATAAGGTTTTTAAATTTAAAAAGAGTTCTTGGTTGAAATACAAGAGTTTGGGGGACTTTTTTGTTTTGCTTTGCTTTTTACTTCCATCTTTCAGAGCAGGGGTAACATACAGAGAGTGCTCACGCCTCAGAGGATATACAAGATAATTTGGGGGAAGGGTGTGAGAAGAAAATAGTACAATTTCTATTTTAGTTTCTTATTCTTTTACCTACAAAGTAAATTTTACAGATATTTAACATATAAATGGACACCGGTGTCCTTATTCAGATGGTTGTATTTATTCACTTTGAGCACACTGTGATTTACTGCCGTTTCGGAGTGCCTAGTTGAGCAAAATTATGGAATATTCACTTCTAAATGAACTCTTGCCAAATGAACAAGTGGCTAAAAGGAGTCCTACAAAGATAATACCAATAATGTAAGCACAAGCAAACAAGGAAATGGCCCAGCTGACAGTTCTATTATAGAAAATCTCTTTAGAAAAACTGTGACTATCTAGTCAGATCTCACAAGAAAGAGGCAAAAAATATTCCAAAAGTTATTTTTAAAAATACAGACTTAATCTATTACTATCAATATTTTGCTAATAAGAATTTTAAAACATAAATTACATCATCTGTCATCCGCTTTCTTTTGTATTTATTTTACAATGTAGGTAGCAATAGTGCATTTTACATGGAGATTTAATTTAAAGTAAATTTATATATATTAGGGATTTTTACCAATAGCGCACATGATCAATAGGATTCAGAGACTCTTATTTTAGCATAAGTATTTTTAATATCAAGCTAGTTAATCCGTAGGTACAAATAAAACTTCTATTTTTAAGTCATATGCAATATAAAATATATTCCGTTAGAAACAGTTAGTTGACTACGAACGCTAATATAATGCATGTGAACAGGGAAGAGGACAGGAATTAACTGGGAAGAGCCATGAGGGAACTTTCATGGGTACTGATACTACCGTATATCTTACAAGGGATTTGGATTATACCAGCGTATACATTAATCAAACCTCACTGAGTGGTACATTTAAGTGTGTTTCAGTTTATATAAATTTTATCTCAAAACGCAAAAAAAAAAAAAAAAAGAAGAAAAAGAAGAAAGAAAGAAAGAAAAAGGATCTATAAAAAATACTGACCTCTAGTTAATGATAATGCACGCTGAAGTATCTAGGAGTAAATTATACTGATGCCTGCAACTTACCTTAAAATGGATTAAAATAAGATGGACTGCTGTATGGATGGAGCGATGGATCGTGAATCACAAGATAAAGCAAGTGCAGTAAATGTTAATTGTAGAATTTAAGTGGTGGATATAAAGGTGTTCACTGGACAACTGTTTTAACTTTTCTATACACTTGAAATGATTCATGACAAAAGGCTGGAAAAAATAACCTATCTACTCAAAAGCTGAAAATTAAAAACAGTGTAGTGATACAAGGGGAAAGTCAGAAATCGAAAAAGGAAAAAAGGTAGGAACACCCAAACACCGCTGCTTGGTACTTTTACACAACTGAATCTGTGCAGTGAGAATTATGCCTGTTTCACAGGCTAGTAAATTAAAACTTAGAAAGATTACAGAATATGCCTAAGGTCACAGAGTATGAAGGGCGGCCAAAAGCGGAATCCAACCTGACCAAATTTGCTAAAGGAGTGAATCCTCTGGGCCCACATTCCTCATAAGGGGCTGCCTAGGACCCAACAGCTTCCCTACGGCAGGGAAGTTGCTTCTCCATTCAAGCATGGACCTTCTTTGATAGAAGAGTCCTCCCAAAATCTGTCTCCCCCATGTTTTTCCTCCTAGGTCTGTCTGATCCCTTGGGGCCATACAGAATCTAATCCCCACAAGACTGCCTTCATATCGAATGACAGTATTTGAAATATGAAGAAGTAGGATTTTTTTTTCCAGTTAGCATTTTGTAACATCATTTTGTGACATCATCTATAGCGAGGTGTAAAATGGGGATAATGCCTTAGTGACCTGGAGTGGAAGTAACATGAGGACATCCATGGAGCATACAACATGGTAACCACCAGAGTAGGGACTCACATCTTTTTCTAACCCTTACCTTTCCTTGGAAATTACAACATGCCACTGGTATAAAATGATATAAAATGGTATAAAATACCATTTTATAAAAAAGAAAACACATGTCCTTTCTTTGAGGAGTTTACGTTAAATGGGGAAGAGACACAGATTTTTCCTTCCTGTACTTATTTTATCTAACAACCTGATTCTGTTTCCTCATTTTATTTTCCATTTTGCCTTGGTTTGGAATTACAACTTCTAGGAATTTTGTGTGCAATCAGATACAGAACTAGGACTACTTCTACTGCACTTTTTTGTTTCAAAATTACTACAGGTGGCCAACCTAAGTAAGCAACTTGTTAATGAAATTTTAAGTTTTGGTTTGTTTGGTTTGGTTTTGTTTGCTTGTTTGTTGACTCTCCAAAGTTATTATCACAGCCTAATGGAACCTGAACCTCACTTGAAACCAGAAGTTATTAGTATTGGAAGAAATCCTAGAGATGATAATTTTCTAATTTCAGAAATGGATGTTCAGACAGCTGAAATGATTAGTCCATAACAGAGCCCAAACCCAATACCAGGCCCCCCAATTCCCAGGCCAACTGTTTTTTGTGTTTTTGGTGTTTTGTTTTTTTTTTTTCTGTTTTTAAATCCGCGAACTTAAAGCGGAAAAAAAAAAAAAAAGTGATTATGTCCACCCATTACTTCAACTTCACTAATTTCAGCCTGGCCACCCGTGATGTCACTTCCTTTTGTGAATGGGTGCCCCCCCCCGCCCCGTCTAGCTACCTTCACTTGACTGTAATACAACATTTTAGAGCTCACACTCCTATTTATGCCAATATTTCCCACATCTATTCTGTTCCCCAAGGATACCAACAGGGCCTCCAAGATACCCTGACCCTCCTTTTCACTGTTATTTCTCCTTTCAAACAACTAACTGCCAACTAGCATAAAAATCAAAAGTAAACGGGGTTTATTTTTAAGACACAAAGCACACACGGCAAGTGTTGATCTCCTCCTCGCCCAAAGGAACCGATTAAAAAAAAAAAAAATTAAGCCTGTGTATTACACGCAGATGCTTTCGAGAGAAAGAGCCAGCCACGACCTGGAAGAGAGAGCTATTGTGGGCTGTAGCGGGAGGCCGAGGCGAAGGTCTGGGATCCGACCTAAAACAAACATGGAGGTGAAAAGGCACCGGGAGCTCCGCAGACCCACCAGCCGGTGCCGGGCTGCGAGCTCCCGGCTACTCCGGGTGGGTCTGCGGAGCGACCGGCGGCGGGCAGGCGCGGACGCCAGGACAATGATGCGGCCGGCGGGGCTCAGGGGAAACTCAACAAGTCTGGAAGGCGAAGGAGGCGCCGAGGGATGGATGAACGGCTGCCAAGAGGCTCCTGCTGGCCTCTGGATGACCACTAGCCCTTTCCAGGATTCGCCGCCGCGGCCCCCGCCGGCCCGCCGCCGGCCATTTGCATCACGCTCCCCTACGTGCCCCGACGTTCGCCCGGGACCCGGCGGCCCACCCGCGACCCTGCCCGCAGCCCTGCCTCCCGCCCGGGCCCGCCGCCCCCGCGCCGCGGCTGCCCGGCTTCCCCGCGGCGGGCCTGCCCGGGCCGGAGCCGCCTTCCAGAGGGGGCGGAAGGATGGCCGCCCTCGCGGGGAGCGGGCGCGGCCCGGAACCCTCGCCTCCGGCCCGGGCACGGCCTCCGTGCGCAGCGCCGCCCGCGCCTCCAGCCCCGGCCGCGGCCGGCTCGGGGCGCCCGGGCTCCGGGCCGAGGCGGATGGAGGAAGGGGGCGGGCGCGCCATCATGAAGGGGAAAATGGTGGGCGGGCGGGCCCGCCCGCGGCCGCCGTACTCACCCGGGCCGGCCAGTGCGGGTAGCCCTTCATCTTGGCGAAGACCAGGTCGCCCGCCTTGTACTCGCGGGGCCGCGGACGCGCCATCCCGGCCGCTTCCTCCCCCGGTCGTCCTTGGTCGCCGCGAAGATGCCGGGAGGCCGCCCCCCCGTGGGCCGACGGACTGCGCCGCGCTCCCCGCGGGCCTCGAGCGGGCGGGCGAGCGGCCGCTCCGACGAGGGGAAGCGGCGAGGCGGCGGCTGAGGCGAGGGGTGGGCGGGGGGCGCAGCAGGCCCGGCAAATCACGGCCCGGCAGCGGGGGAGGGGAGCCCCCGGCCGCTCGGCTCTCGCCCGCGCCGAGGTCCCCGCCGCCGCCGCGCGCTGCTCACAGGCGCCGCGTCGCCTGCCTCATGCCGCCGCCGCCGCCGCCGCCGCCGCCGGCCTCCCTCCCGGGCTCCCGGGCGCGGCGCGAGCGCCGGGCCTCGCGCCTCCTCCGAATTCCTCCTCGGGCAGCGACCGCAAACACGATCTTATTATTGTTCTCGCGCGCGCTCAGCATCCCCCCCGCCCCGCTTCCCGCTCCCCTCCCCTCCCGCGCCGGCCGGTTAATTCCTAGGTACACGGCCGGCTTTCGCCCAGAAACCGAGCGCGCCAGCCCGGCTGCTCCGCGGGCGGGCGGGCGGGCGGTGGGCGCGTCCTCCCCCAGCACCGAAGCCCGCGCGGGGCGGGCGGGAGCGCCTACTCCGGGGGACGCCCGCCGCCCGCTCTCTTTTGTTCTGGGCCGGGAGCTGCCTGCCGCAGCCCAGCCAATCACCACCTGGCCGCCCCCCTCCCCGCCGGCCCGCGCAGCTCTAGAGGGGCGCTCCCCCACCTCCTTGCGCCCCCCAGTCCCACGCCCGGCCCCCGCCTGGCCGCCCCCGCGGGCCACTGCTGCGGGTGCTCTCCGGCGAGTGGGGCATAAAGGCCCTGCAGGCCTGGGGGACGGCTGCGCGAGGGGACCCGCTGCCCTGCGTATCAGGCTGCCTGCAAAGAGCCCCGCTCTGGAGTCGGCGACCGTGTTGGGTCCTCGCCCCAGGTCTGCCCTTGACAATGCACTGTGACCCACCGAGGGCAGGCTCTTCGGCCCGAGTCACGGGCGGTGGTTCTCTTTTGCCTGGCGGCACAGGCGGGATTCGAACGCGGACCTACAGGACTCCAGAGCCCAAGCGCGGTCGTGCTTCTCCAGCGCGTGGGTCTTGCAGGCCTGTAGTTTGGGGAAAGGGACTTAACTCTGGCGGGTCACTTGTTTCCAATCCTGGCAATATTTCGGACAACGTGTCTTCAGTCTGCCTAATGGTGAATCTGCTTCTTTCGTCATGTCGAAGCCCACCCGTAAGAAGTCACTGGCGCAGCCCTTGAGTGTAGCGTACTTGCTGTGGCCTTCGTTTGTCACGAGGACGGTTCTCATTCGCGTCTGTCCCCTCTTCTGAGCATTTCTGCTCTTCCCTTTTATAGAAGCTATTCATTTCCATCAGTACCTGCCTCCCTCGCTTGCTTTGTAGAGTGTGTGTGTGTGTGTGTGTGTGTGTGTGTGTGTGTGTGTGTGTTGCCTGGCAGACCAACCCCTGCTCCTGTTCTTGGTGCTGGGCTTCCAGTAATGGGGCTTTGAAGTCTCTAGACTTCCTGAGGCTTGTTGACGTTGTTACTAGCGCTTGACGTGACCTACTCATGCGTTTCCTTACTACTTGTGTCTGGTGACTTTCCTTCTTAGATATCACGCCTTCCCCCATGGGTCCTGCAGGCTCACCTGTCCTCTTTTCTCACCCTGGAAGACCAGTCTAGGTCCTTTTGTCTCCATTGTCCTAGCCAGTGTCAGTCCCTTTGGGCGGCTACAACAAAATACCACAGAAGGGGGGACTGATTTCTGACAGTTCTGGAGGCTGGGAGGTCCAAGAACAAGGTGCTGGAGAGTCTGTCCACCGGTGAGGCCCCACTTCCTGGTTCCTCGAGGACAGTCTTTACTCTGGGTTCTTCCACAGGTAGGAGGGGGAGGAGGGCATGGCATGGCAGATCTCTGGGGTCTCTTTTATAAGGGCACTAATCTCATTTATCAGGGCTCCACCCTCATGACCTCATCCCCTCCCAAAGGCCTCACTTCCAAACACATGGGACATTAGGATTTAGCATCTGAGTTTTGGGAGGACACCAACATTCGATTCCTAGCAGTCTGTGAACATGTTTCCCACTTCTATGACCTGTCCTGTGTATCCCTCATCATGCTCCGCTCATGAACCTGAGAACGGTTCCTATATCCTCATATGTCAAACCGAAATCCCTCTGATTAGCTGCCAAAGCCCTAGCTGTTGGCTGCTTGCCTCCTCCAGTCTGGCCTCCCTGTGGGCATAGCGTGGCAATGGGGGAGAGGGAAGAAATGAGAACAGACAGGCTGTCAGTTGGAAGCCACGGGAGACTTGAAGCAGAGGAGGGACATGGTCATGGTTTGGGGCCAGACAAATTACTCCGGAGGCCAGTGTGGGGGTGGATTTGAGGGTAAGGGTCTAGGGGCACGGGGTCGGGGGGGGGGGGGGGGTCTCACCAGGAGACAGAAGGGCTGAGACAGGGCTTGGTGACTCACTGGGTGGCAACTGAGTAGGAAGAAGAAATAAAAAACCATTCCTTGGTTTCTGGCTTAAGCAACAGGATGATTCGTTTTGGCACTCAGTTGAGGAAATCCATGAAGAAAGGGCAATTTGGGGATGAGATAATGAGTGGTTTTGTGTGTCGAAATTTCCGTGGGGCATCCAGGAAGAGGTGTTTAGTGAGCAGCAGAATGTACGGCTTAGAGAAGGAAGGCGAGGCAGAATGTAGAGATTTGAGTGATGTTAATACACAGGTGGCGGTTGAAACCCTGTGGGAGGTTCCCAGGGCACTGTGTCAAATAAGAAAAGCAGTGGCCAAGGATAGAGCCGGGCAACATGAACCTTTAAGGGTCAGGCAGAAAAAGAAGAGGAGAGTAGTGCTGGAGAAGCCAAAAAGAAAAAAAAATAATAAAGAATTTCCAAAAGGAGGGACCTGTCCAGACAGATGCCACAGGAAGGTCAAGGGAGCTAAGGCAGGAGATGGGTGCACTGAACCTGGTGATTGAGATGTCTTTGGTGACCTTGGTGGGAACTGTGTCACTGAAACAGTGATGGGACGAAACCAGGGAGCAGCGGCTTGACACGTGAGTGACAGGTAGGAAGTGTAGACACCTCATTCCCGGCAGTAGAGAAGGTCTCTCAAGAATGCATGAAGGGTGAGTTGTCCTGCTGTGACTGGTCACTTGGTCAAAGATTGGAGAAATGTGAGTTTATAATGAGCAGAAGCAGTCGAGGGAGAGGTTGAAGACAAAAGCCAAAGGGGATTGTCGATAGGGTTTTTGTTTTTGTTTTGTTTTGTTCTGTTTTGAGAATGTAGAGATTTCTCCCAGCGAGGCTTTGGTTTCAGGGTTTCTTCTAAGCCTGGTCTCACTGCTCAGCACACGTCATCTGCCTGCCTGTCGTGTCCTGACCGAGTCAGCGTCAATAACAAGCGCACAGGGGATCCCCCTCCAGGCTCCTTCTGGCTGGTCCTGGGAATCTTCTCGTGCATTTGGCTCAGAGCCCATCTGTCTCCGCAGCCAGGCTGGGTGCAGACCACCTTGTCGACACAGTGTTGTGGGGTTGAAGCATTGCCCTGTGGCTTTCACTGCAGACAGGGCTTTCAGACTGGTTCCTCTGCTTTTATGCAAAGGCCTCTTCCTGTGGCTATTCCAGAACAATGCTCTATTCAAATATTTAACAGATAATAACTAACCCTTTAGAGATACCACTAAGACCATTATGAGTCTGATGTATTTTATTTTCGTTTGGCCCCAAGAGCTGGTCTCTTTGCTATGTCAGAATAGAACACATTAATTTTGCTTCTGAAACTTGGAAAGAACTCAATTCACAAATGATAATAATATCAACATCCTTTGATCACTTTTGATTTTATTATCCTAAAATCCCTACGGGCTACTACTTCGCCCTGCTCTTGGCACTTTGGTCTGCTTTTTGCTGTTCCTCTTTTCACTCACACACATCCACACAATTTGTTGACCCCGTCTGGCTTTCACCTTCACCTTTCGTATCTTGACTCAAGTTCCTAATAAAACTCCGATAGTTCCTTCAGATTTGTCCCCCAGATTCTACCCACTCTCTGATGCTTCAGTTGCCTAAAACCGATTCTTTCTCCCCAAATGATATATGAGGTGATATCTGGAAAGCACCTAGAACAATGCCTGGCAAATGGTAAGGACTCACTAAATATTAGTTGGTAGTATTTGTGGTGGTGGTTGTTGGTAACATGGTACAGTGGAAAGAACTGTGGAAAGGGAGTCAGGAAAATTTGGTTTTAATCACACACACACACACACACACACACACACACACACACACACACACCCATATGTCCGAGGCAGTTCCCTGCACTTTGCATCAGAGTTCATTTCTACTACTATTGCCATGAGAGGCGTCTTTCAAATGTCCCGAGGAACTGGTCTCACATTCCTTGAAAGAGAAAGGGCTATCACATACTGACACCTTCTCGAGAGTCAGTGGAGGGGCTGTCCTGTACTACCTGCGGTGATACCGAGTACACCCCCTTGGTGAGTGCTGGACCGTTCTGAGTCAGCAGAAGGAACCATTAAAGTCAACACGGACATGATAGGACAAGGTAGGAGTCAAGGGTTGGGTCAGTTGTGTTGCTATACTCGGGCCACTAAGGCAAGAAGAGAGCACCCCGGTACTGATCCAGAAGCGTTGTATGGTCTCTGAAGGTACTACCCAAGCCACCTGGAATCTTATTTGCAGAAGGAAAGGAGGATTGTTTCAGGCCCTGGGAACTCTACACCCGGACACCCAGAGTCCAAAGGCCATCTCCATTGCGACTGCTTTCACGCTTGCCCTCTCACTCTCCTGTCCTGGCTGAGAGCAAACTGGAGGACGTTAGTGAGTTATTAAGCTTTTTGTGCAGGAGGAGAGTCAAGATGTAAAAGACATGAGAGGCTTGAAGAATTTGCAGCTTTGGCCACCATTCGGGCTAGCCTGGTTCCAGTATCAGCATGGCACTGCCAAAGAGAGCACTGCATCCCGTTTGCATTCCTTTTTCTGTTTATTGTAAAAAATATTTGTTGAGTAGCACTATGCATCTGTCACTGTCTTAGGTCCTAGGTCTAGGAGCCATGGGGAACCAGGAGGTTGGGGAAGGAATGGAGACCATGCCACACAGAGCAGGGTTGCAGGAGTCTGGGGAGAGTACGGTATCTGGGTCCAACCATCTGACGGACTACTCGGTGAC